CATTCCCCGGCAGCCTCACTTCCGGCAGCTGTCAGTCCCAGAGGCTGTTCTCCCAGGCGGAACTACAAATCCCAGAGTGTCTTGCGCACTCTGAAATTGTTCCCATTTGTTGAAGTTAAATTGTTTGGCTCCAGCCTCGCATTATCAGCTCTGACCATTCACCCAAGTGGAAATGAGAACTGGCAGTGTTAAGCACAGTCTCATGCCGTAATTCTAGAAACTCACATACCCAGGAACTTTATCACAGTTTAAAAAAAAAAAAACCCAACCGCACCGGAAGTTGTGATACCCAATCCAAATTCTCAGACCTCAACTCCCGCTGAAGCAGTTTCCGGAAATGCTGAAACGATATTACTCCGCCCCTTCCGCCTATAAGCTATATAAGAGCATGACGTCACGTCCGCTCTCTCTTCCACAGGAGGCCTACACGCCGCCGTTCCTGCCGCCGCCATGGTAAGACTGGAGTCCGTGCCGGGATCCGGCGACATCGGAACCCAGGCAGGGAAAGTTTGCTGTCAGAACACCGAGGATGGCCGCATTTACGGCCTGCAGCTTTCTGTGTGGAGCGTTGGACCGCAGCCCTGGGAAGGGACGACCAAAGACTTGGAGTTCCAGGGAGCAGGGCCCGAGGAAGGGTCACTCCCCGGGCGCGCGAAAGCTGCCAGAGGCTTGGGCGTATGTGGCGATCTCCGGCCTCTGCCACTCTGCGTACTTTTGGGAACGGCCGACGTGCGCCTTCCAGAGTTTGCATTTTCCTAGGCCCGATCGTTTCAAGTTTTCTGAGGACTGAAGAGTTCGTTGTGTGAGACCCTGAGCAGGGTAGAGGGGTGACAAACTTATTGCTGTGGTGGAGGTTGTGCCTGACCTATAGGTGTGATGGTAGTTCGGGGTCTCTGACTTCTTCCCTGTGCTCTTTCTCAGTCTCTAGTGATCCCCGAGAAGTTCCAGCACATTTTGCGAGTACTCAACACCAACATCGATGGGCGGCGGAAAATAGCCTTTGCCATCACTGCCATTAAGGTAAAGCCAGGACCAGGGGTAAAGAATATCAGTAGAAATTGGCTTCTCCCAAACTACGCTGTAGAAGAGACGGGGCTGAGGGGACATAAAGTCCCTTCGCTATCGCTTCAACTCCCGCAGTAGAGGATAAGAATTAAGAGAATAACTGATCCCTCAGAACCTTTACCATGAAAGAGAAGCTGCCAAAGAGTGGTCTGAGCTGGAACCAGAACATTTCACACACGCAGGTTGGAGAGATTCTTTTAGGTTTGATTTTTTGTAGTCTGACTTCTCCCTAGTGCCTCATAATGACAAGCCTTGCTTGTAGTGCATGGTCCTAAAATTTGGGTGATACCTGTTCACTTGCCAAAGCTAGGGAATTCTAGGCCTCTCAGAATGGAGACGTTACTGTTTTTTCTTTTAATCAAAGTAATTGTGGGAATCGGTATTGTACATTGCACAAGGCTGGCTAGATCTGTGTGCCAGGTGAAATGAAGGCGTGGTGGCACGTGCCTGTAATCCCAGCACTTAGGAGGCAGAGGCAGGAGGATCTTGCAAGTTCGAGACCAAGGTGAAATGTTTTTTTATACAGGGAATAAAATGGAGAGAGCCTGTTTTAGTTGGATGAATGCTCACATAGGATTGATGCAAAAGATAACTTAGAGGAAAAAGCATAGCTTTGATGCTCGCTTTTCATTCTGTACTACAGGGAACACAACTTCATTTATTCTCAGAAGGTTTACAGGAAGATTGTTTCTTCCTGTTGGGTGCTCTGAAACAGTGTAAAAGTAAGCACCTGGCAGATTACTATGGCAGACGTGAAATAATGAAGTAAAAAGACGAGGTGACTGATGCGGAGCCAACTTACAAGGGAAGCAGTTTTTTTCCAAACAGCAAGCTTTTCTCCGTCCCGTTATCTTGGTGGAAGACCTCCAGATGATAGGGTATAAGATAATGACTGCCAAATAATGGAAATACAGCTCCCAACCTGCTAGGTGTCCATATGCTGCCTTCAGAGAAGGAACTTAACCAGCAACCAGCGTATGTTTGCATACCTGGTGAGGGACTGAAGTGGTGTTTCTTGGGGATCCTGATGTCCTGCTTATAGGAAAGAACGTTTCCTAGCTTTAGTGAGTGCTAAGGTTTTTGCTAGGTGTGGGGAAAGCAAAGATTTTTACTTATGAAAGAACCAAAGTTGGACACGACAGTATGGGGTTGTGAAGGATCCCTCCAAAGATGTGGCCAGGCAGTGGAAAGGAAAGTGCCTTAACCAGGAGGGCTTATACTGGTGGGAGCAGGGTGGTAGTTGAGAGTCCAGGTGTAAGGCTGGAGTTTTTCTGTGCTCATGCCTTCCTAGTTGGTGGCTGGGACAAGGTCCACCTGAGTGACCTAGCCTGGTCTGGAAGTCATGATGCTCTTGCCTCAGCTTCCCAGAGTGCTAGAATTACAAGTATGGGAAACCAGCCCAGGTGCTTGCAGTACCCCTTAAGGGTGACTTTCATCCTACCTCTCTGGGCTTCCCAGCTGCTATCTATGAGTTGTTTGCAAACATCAGGGAAGGTTTGGGTTGGTCAACACCTGAAATGCTCAAGGCCCTTGTTGAGGAATTCTTGTCCTGCCAAAATCCTCATCAATAGCACTGCTTTAAATACTTCATCCACACGGTTGATGTTTAGTTAAATACTTCATCCACACGGTTGATGTTTATTTTTCTGTAACATGACTGGGACCTTGGATTGCAAATCTGAGACAGTAATCCTGTGGATCATGGGTCTGTATCAGTTGGCCAGATTGGTACATGCCTGTATAATTTGGCCAGGCCCATATGTCTGCTACTGGTTTATTCTGGAGGCTGAAGCAGAATTATGCATTTGAGGTCAGCTCGATTAACAGCAAGACCCTGTATCAAAAGGTAAATAAACATAAAATCTGTCTCTGTGTACACCCACTCCCAGTTGGAAGTGTCAGGCATACACTTGTCACTAAGGAAAATTTGAGAGACACCCTGATGTACTGAGTCAACAGAAATTTCTCTCTTGCAGCAAAAAGGATGTCAGAACCATGCTCACTCTGAAGGGGCCAAGAGCTCTGCCTCGCTTCCTGTGATTTACTGTGGCTCCTGGCTTTTCTCAAGTTTGGAGCTGCACTCAACCACACTGTGTCTCCTTGTGTGGCTCTTTCTCCTGTGTCTCTGGGTTCACCATCCACCGGATTTAGGGTTCCCTCTAGTGGAATCTAATCACTTTGGCAAGAGGACATAAAGTTATACTGTAGGGGTCTGGGTGACATCAGTGGGAGGAAAGGGGAGCATTTATACAGTCCAGGGGACACCATTCACATGGTTCAGGGCCACAAGCAGCTAAGGGCCTTAAGCTACATCCCCTGGCTTTATTTTTTTTTTTTTTTTAAACCAGGGATCAAGTTCACTATCTTGTATTTGCCAGGCAGGTACTTAAATCCCCTTCCCTTTTTTTCTCTTGGTACAAGGATCAAACAGCCTCACACCTGCAGTGTTTATACTGCTGAGCTAAATCTCTGGCCTGCCTTCCCACCCCTCCCCCAAAGGCTGGACTTGCATTTGCATATGGGCATGCAATTGCATTTGCAATTGAGTTTCTGCCTCCTGTAGTGCTGGAACTACATGCCACCATGCCAGCGCACCATTCTTAGTTACCCAAAGCTTGGTTCATGGGTTCAGGTGACAGATGAGTCTTCGCCATGATGGTGTTGCTGTGTTGTCACTGATAAAAGCATTAGTTATAGGTCCCTAGGTAAGGGTCATTCTTGGGTGCTGACAATCGTGATAACAGGAAATTTCAGTCACTGTTCACTTCTCCAAAGTTGTAACCATCAGAAATCTAGGCAGCTAACAAAACCTACACCTTCCTGAATCAACCCTAGTAAACCAGGCCCTGCCTGTGTCGCTGCCTGGGCTTGGAAAAATGGACTATTCATCACTGCAGAAGGCACAAGCTGCGTTTTTCTGCTTTGGGTCCAGTGTGCACCTTAATTTGGGCTGGCCTCAAATTTGGCAGCCTTCGTCTTGCCTCAGCCTCCCAGGTGTTGGAGCTGTGGGCATGTGCACCATACCTGGCCCCCGCCTGCTCAGTGATTGGGCTTCCTGTCTGAACAGTGGGAGAGGGAAACTGGGAAGGACCTGATTGTGGGTCCCACCAGTCTCAGCTGAGGTTGGATGGAAGCCTGATTCTCGGACCCCTTCTCTCAGGGTGTGGGGCGAAGGTACGCGCATGTGGTGTTGAGGAAAGCAGACATCGACCTCACCAAGAGGGCTGGAGAGCTCACCGAGGATGAGGTGAGGACAACAGGGGCTGAGGCGAGGCCAGGACTGGGCCCCATCTTGGAAGGGGCCACCTGGGCCTGACCCCCTCCTGCTTCAGGTAGAGCGAGTGATCACGATCATGCAGAACCCGCGCCAGTATAAGATCCCAGACTGGTTCCTGAACAGACAGAAGGACGTGAAGGACGGGAAATACAGCCAGGTGTGTGGAGAAAGGGGGCTTGGGGCGGGTCCGAGTGAAACCGGCTGGGGAGGAGCACCCGCGATCCCCATGTCCAAATGCAGGTCCTGGCCAACGGTCTGGACAACAAGCTCCGCGAGGACCTGGAGCGACTGAAAAAGATCAGAGCCCACCGGGGGCTGCGCCACTTCTGGGGGTGAGTAGGAGTGCCCCCCTCTCCCCCTTACTGGGCTGCAGGCAGTGGCCCCTGGTCTGTACCCATCCCGGCCTCCCTCCTTCCCCCGGTGTGACCTGTGGTCTCTTCCCACCAGCCTTCGCGTCCGAGGCCAGCACACCAAGACTACCGGCCGCCGCGGCCGCACTGTGGGCGTGTCCAAGAAGAAGTGAGCACGCGCCCTGCTAATAAATGACGTACCCGCCTCCAGCCTGCCTTGTGTGTGTGGTTTTTCTGTGTGCTCGGGGCCCCTGGAAGGGGTGCGGGGTGGGGGGAGGCGCTGCTGGGCCCCCGCAGTTGGGGAAGGATGCGCCACCTGGTTTTCGGACTGGACCGGTGCTGGCGATGCCCCTGCGGTATAGCTGCGCCAGCTGGCGAGGGGCGTGTGGTGCCGGCGGCCTTAAGGGGGAGCCTGAGCGGCAGCGGGCACAGGCAGACACCCCGAGCTGCACAGAGCGCTGTGGAGAACGGGAGCTGACCCCGCGCTGAGGAGGTGGGTTCTTGTCCAGGGCGCGGGCCTCCTGACGGAGATGGGAATTTCACCTTTCCCCAGGAGAGCAGGCATTTCCGGCTGCGGGTGGAGCAGGGAGAGGCCCAGGTGGGGCTGTGGCCCTGGGCTCCGGTAACTTCCCCGGGCGCCGGCCAGACTCCCGTCCTCCGAGCCTGACCTCCCTCTCTTGCAGACCCTGCCGCAAGCCCACCATGCCCCTCGGCCTCTCCCGGCGCCTCCTCCTGGCCGCACTGTTGCTGGCCGTCGCATGGACCCTCTTTGGGCCCTCGGGGGTGGGCGAGGAGCTGTTGAGCCTCTCACTGACTGCACTGCTCCCGGCCCCTGCCTCCCCCGGTCCACCGCTGGCCCTGCCCCGCCTCCTGATCCCCAACCGGGAGGCCTGCTTGGGTCCCGGGGCCCCGCCCTTCCTGCTGATCCTGGTGTGCACGGCGCCTGAGAACCGGAACCAAAGGGATGCCATCCGGGCCACTTGGGGCAGCCAGCGTCAGGCGCAAGGCCTGCGGGTGCAGACGCTCTTCTTGTTGGGGGAGCCTCGCGGGCAGCACCCCGCCGACAGTCCCCACGGGGACCTAGCCCAGGAGTCGGCAGTACAGGGCGACGTGGTGCAGGCCGCCTTCCGAGACGCGTACCGCAACCTCACCCTCAAGACCCTGGTGGGGCTCAGCTGGGCCAGCACACACTGCCCCACCGCCCGCTACGTCCTCAAAACAGACGACGACGTGTACGTCAACGTCCCCGAGCTGGTGTCTGAACTACTGCGCCGAGGGGGCCCGTGGGAGCCCCGCCAAGAGGCTGCAGCCAGCAGGGAGCAGCAGGAGGACAGCAAGCCCGTGCCGCTTCTGTACCTAGGCCGAGTGCACTGGTGGGTGAAGCCTTCCCGGGCGCCAGGAGGCCGGCACCTGGTCTCAGAGGGGCAGTGGCCTCCGGCCTGGGGCCCCTTCCCACCCTATGCCTCTGGCACCGGGTACGTGCTGTCCGCATCTGCCGTGCAGCTCATTTTGAAGGTGGCAGCCCAGGCACCCGCGCTGCCCCTGGAGGACGTCTTTGTTGGGGTGAGCGCAAGGCGGGGAGGCCTGGCCCCCACCCACTGTGTCAAGCTGGCCGGTGCCACCCACTACCCCATGGACCGGTGCTGCTACGGGAAATTCCTGCTGACCTCGCACAGACTGGACCCTGGGCAGCTGCGGGAGGCCTGGGAGCTGGTGCATGGGACGGGTGGGGAAAGGTCCAGTCCCTTTTGCTCCTGGCTCCAGGGAGCCTTGGGCATTCTGCGGTGTCGGCTTCTGGCCTGGCTGGATAGCTGAGTGACTGAGACCAGGGGAGCAGCTGCAGGTTGGCCAGCAACCCCAGGCTCAGGCCAGGGGCCCTGGAGCTACAGCCTGCCCATGTCCTCATGCCAGCCACCAGTCTGTCCCAACAGAGGACACGGGAAGAAAGCAGCCTGCCCACTCACCCCGAGGTCAGACTCCAGGAAGAAAGATGCTGTTCTCTCCAGCCAGGCTGGGACTCGAACCCCTCAATAAACTTGATTATCCAACTGCAGCAGGTCTTCACAGGGACTCCCTGACTCCCAGAGGCTGCCAGCGGCTGGGTAGAGGGGACTGCCCCAGGGAGGAGGGCACCCTAATAGGTGAGCCTAAGGCCCCAGGATGCAAGGGATGGACAAGACCCTGACCCCTCAGCCCAGGATGGCTCCCGTGGGCCAGGGGCAAGGGACAACTGGATTCCACAGTATCCCAGAACTTGTTTAATGCTGACCCACCCGAAGGGCCTGCCATCCCATGCAGGAAGGGGGGCACTGTCCTGTCCTGCCAGGGAACAGTCATCTCCCTCCAGGTGGCCCTAGGAAACAGGTGGTTCCCAGGCTACCCTGGAGCTGGGTTCAGCGCACAAATCTGTCCAGAGCTGAAGGCTGCACCCCTGTGGGCTTGGCCTTCTGCTGTTTTTGCTGCTTCTGCTGCTCCTCCAGGCTTTGCCGGACTTTGTCCTGGAGACAGGAGAGAGGAGGCCACAGGCAAGGTGAGCAGTGACAGCAGGACTGGTGCAGCCGAGGCGGCCAGGCCAGCCCGCCCACCCCCTGCCCGCCCTTCCGCTCACCCTGTGCTCCTGCTCCAGGACCTTCTTCTTTCTCTTCACCATGCTGCCCGTGGAGCTGCGGCCTTTCCGCTTTGGCTTTGGCTGGAAAGGTGCCTTGGCCTCGGGGTCGTAGCCCTGGGGGTGGGGGCCGGGGGGTAAGGGCCTGGGAGGGGGGGACCCACCTTCCGAGGCCGGCCCCGGCGCCCCGCAGCTCTCGTTCATACCAGTCTCTCCATTCGCTCCTTCTTCCGCTGCTCCAGCGAGATGACATCGACTTCCGCCAGGGCTCGGGGGTTCAGACAGATGAGCTCGGCAGGCACCTGGGGTGTCATGGGGGAAGGGCAATGGGCCCCTTGGCAAGCCCTGTGCACGGAGCCCCACCCTCAGCCAGCACCTTGTCCCACAGGGCACTCACCTTCTCTAGCAGGGCTTTCACCTCCCACTCCTGCCGCTGCTTCCGGCTGCGGTACGGGTTGCTCTCCAGGCCATCGAAGTTGGGCTCCGCGGCCCCTGTGGGCGGAAGAGCCAGGGGCTGCGGCTGAGCCGGCCAAGCCCTTGCTTGGCCCTCGCTGCCCCACCCAGATGGGCTCCGGTTCACTCACCGGGGACCAGCATGCTGGTGATGCCACCACTGTGCCCAACCCCCAGCACGTCCTCAAAGGGGCAGAACTGTAGCCCGTGCACAGGGCCTGCCAGCCGGTGGGTGAGGTAGGGCCGCTCCAGGGCGGGCAGGGTGGCCTTGCCCTGCCCTGTCCATATGTTAACCACGTCCCCCATGCCCGCGGCCAGCAGTCCTCGCTGGGAAAAAGCCAGGTGCCCCGCTCCAAGGGGCAGCGTCCGAGCGCTCAGGGGCTGGTAGGTCCCACGCAGGTCAAAGACCTTCAGCTGGTGATCCAGGCCAGAAGTGGCCATGTACCTGCGGTAGATGCGGGGTCAGTTTGTCCATCCGCATGGGTTTACTGCAGTCCATGGCCATCCACCTCAGTGTGATCAGGGAGGGAAGAGCCACTCCCACCACACAACACACACTGCTAGGCTCCTCACAGTGCAGAAGCCCAGAGAAAGGAGATCAGGTTAGTGAATGGCTGGGCTGGAAGTTAGGCCTGGTTCAGTCTGTTCTTTTTTTTTTTCTCTCTTTAACTTACTACACAGTTTGGGCTGGCCTTGAACTCACTTTGTACGCCAGGCTGCTCTTGAACTCCCAACAATCCTCCTGCCTCAGGCTCCTGAATGCTGAGATTACAGGATGTGCCACCATGCCCAGGCCTGTTTCTTTGGGGTCTGCCCTGCCACCTCTCAAGACACGTGTGGCTCTTAAGGGAGGAAACACACCAGCCCATCCTGAATGCACCGTCCCACCACAGACAGGCAGCAGAGCAGCTGGGCAGAGGGGAAAGGCTGGCTCTGGGGCATGCAGGGCAGTTCTCAAGAAAGCATGAAAAACTGCAGGTCCCAATGCACTGACACCAAAGAGCAGACACAGTGAGAAGGAAACAGCACGGGAACCAGGAGTGGGCAAACTGCAGTATTTCAGTGGCCAGACAGAGGACCCACACTCGTTATCCTGACAAATCACAGGCTGAAGACCACATGATCCCAAAGAAGCCTGCCCAGGAAGCAGTGAAGTGATGCAGTGGAGGCCCTGTGTGCCCTCTGCTTTCCTTAGCAGGAAGGAGGGAGCAGGAAGACTGAGGCAGGAGGATCCCAAATTCAAGCCCTGTCTGAGTAACTTAGCAACTCAGTGAGATCCTGTCTCAAAATAAAAAATTTAAAAAGGGCCACGGAGATGTGGCTCAGTGCAAAGGTCACAGATTCAATCTGTAGTACCTCAAAATACGCACACAGAGGGCAGAACTGGAAAGCTGGTGACAAATCATTTTATACTGCCTACTTCTCCCTGCCCAATGCGAGGATGCGGGCTACGCTACAAAGCCTGGCAATTTTCCCTCAGAGAGGGAGGCTGAAGGAGGCCTAGCAGGACAGGGACATTTGTCTGCCAAGGGACGGTGGCCTCTGCTTGGCCTGGGCAGTGCATTCAGCAGGAGTGGATTCTGAGCTCCTCTGAGACAGACTTGGCCCTGTGATAGAGCCAGTGCAGGTCCCACTGGATACTTCCAACAAGAAACCGCAGCTGGTAGCACAAGCACCTGTCTGACAAGCAGAGGTGGTAAGTTCAATCTCTGGTACCAAAAGAAAAAAGAAAACAGCAGTACAGTGGCCTGGGGGCAGTCAGGAATGACCAGGCCTCCTCCCCACTCCCATACTCACCTACGCAACTTCCTGGTAAACAGTACCCGGTGGCAGACCCCAGCTGGCCTTTACACTCAGCCATACCCTCAGCCTTTTTAATATATATTTTAAACTTTGAGACTGGGTCTTGTTAAGTAGCTAAGTTGCCCGGGGTGGGTTGTAATTTGCCACCCACCTGCCTCAGCCTCCCAGGAGTCTGGTATCACAGGTGTGCACCACCACACATTAGCCAATCCACTCTTACTTCAAGCGTCCAAAAAAACTCCAGAAAAAAAGGCCACCTTTATCTCTGGAGCCCTGAACCTGTGACAAGCTCCTGAGAGGGACCAGAAATAAGCAAGGACAAACCTAAGACCAACGAGCAGGACCCAGGGCTGCAGGTTCAATCTCTAGCACAGAGGAAAGGAAAGGGCCAGGGATTTAGCTCAGCAGCATAAGCGCCTGTCTGGCAGTGCAATGTCATCAGTTTGATCCCCGGTACCAAAACAAACAAACAAACAAAAAACAAAGAGGGAAGGGAAGAAAAAGAGACCAGAGCCGTTCAGCTATGTGATTGTTTTGTTTTGTTTTGAGAAAAGTGCCTCACTATGTAGCCAAGTTCGGTGTAGAGCTTGCAGTGATCTTCCTGCCTCAGCCTCCTAGTGCTGAGATACAAGTTTGTGCCACTGGGCTTGGCCTGCTAATTCACTTTGGGGATTTTTGTTGTTTTATCAGCCACAAACTGTTGACTGAACCCAAGGGTTCAAAAAACTAAGTAATCAAGTCCTAGACACAGGAGCCCAGGGAAGGCAAATGTCCAACAGTCTAGGCCCTGAGGTCTGCAGAAGGCGGACGACAGCCTCGGACAGGACCCACTTTCCAAGGCCAGGGGCAGAACCCGTCACTTATCCACAAAGACACGACCATGAGGTGAAGAGGGCTGGCTGTCCTGAAGGCAAGCTGGTGGTGCTGGGCTGTGGTTTTGCTGATTTTCCTAGTCCAGGGGCACAGAAAGGTGGCCAACAGCCACTGCAGACAGGTGCTGGTCAGGGGCAGCAGGGTGAAAGCAGGGGGCTGGAGCTTGGAACCTGGCTGTGTCCCTCCTGCCCCGGAGACAACAAGAGGAAGGGCGGGCAGGGGCAGAGGCAGTGGCAGAGAAGTGGCCACGCAGGGCCACCAAACTGGCAAAGCCTGGAGATCCAGGAAACACTCAACAAACAGTGATTTGGATTCTCTCAGTTACTGATGGCAGAGGAACTTGGGACTGCGTGGCTACAGGGGAATCAAAGAATTCAAACTCTCGGTGACAGGCAAGTCTGGGCAAGCAGAAGCAAGAAAGAAAAATTTTCTTTTTTGGTTTTTTTGAGATAGGGTCTCACTATGCATGTCAGGTTGGCCTCAAACTCACAGCAGCTCTCCTGCCTCAGCCTCCTGAGTGCTGGGATGACAGGCATAAACCACCACGTCCCGTGAGAAAGGAAAAGCTTTGGGAGTAAAGTGACACAAGAAATGTGAGACAACAGGTGACAACTGAGTAGAAGCCAAGTGCACCACTGGCCAAGCACCGCCACCAACCTGCCCAGCAGCACACGGCAGCCAGGGACCATGCCCGCAGCCTGAGCAGCTCAGCCCGGCCCAACCTGCAGCAGCCCGGAGGATGAAACGATTTAGAGGAAAATCCAAATCAGAGACAAGAGACTCTCAGGCAGAGCAGAAATGTAGAGGCACCCCTATACCCCATCCCTGCTCCACCCTGACATCACCGCTTAGATCTGGAGTCAGTGACAAGGAGAGGAGCATAGTGCTGAACCGTGTCACGAGCCGGCACGTTCTCCAACGTCCACACCCGCTTCACAAAGGCTGTGGGTTAGCACTTGGCCAACAGCATGGCCCACACCTGGCCCATGTCTGTCTGCACAGGTCATGAGGAAAGAATGGCTTCTGCTATGTCATGTGATTAAAAATCAAAAGAAGCCAGGCATGGTGCCACAGGCCTGCAATCCCAACACTCAGAGGGCTGAGGCAGGAGAATCGCCATAGGTTTGAGGCCAATCTGGGCTACTCAGCAAGATCCTGTCTCAAAAAAAAAAAAAAAAAAAAAAAGGTAAAACAATAACAAAAAAAGAACAAAAAAACAAAAGACTGTGACATATAAAAATTATATAAGCTGGACACAGACATGCATACCTGTGATCCCAGCACTTGGGAGGCTGAGGCAGGAGGATTGCCATGAGTCTGAGGCCACCCTGGGGTACACAGTTCAAGGCCAGCCTGAATTACAGAATGAGACCCTATCTCAAAAAAGAGAAACAGCTTACTGACCCTGTCTCTGTTCTCAGGACAAGGACACTGGCAAACAGGTTACACACTGTGCCCACAATGATAGGAACTGACACCCAGGTGCAGCATCTGTGCTGCTGGTGACACGCTGCCTTCCAGACCTTTCTGCCAGACATGACCCCCCACCGAAGTCTCATCTCAAACAGTGACTTACGTGCCTGTAGAATCCACTGCCACAGCTTGAACGCCACCACGGTGACAGAGAATCTTTGCCAGTGGCTCCTGCACTGATGGACTCCACAAAGAGACTGTACCTAGAAGTAGGAGGAAACCAAGTCCCCAAAATAAAAACCTGAGATGCTGACACCTGGGAGAGATGGGCATTTGAGACCAGAAAATAGTAAGTCAGAAGAGTGAAAAGGTGACTTTAAAGGATTCATGAAGTACAAGCACAGGACAGAAGCAGAACAGACACTCAGGCAAAGCCAGGGCTCGGTGTGGGGGCGTAAGCCTTGCAGTCCCAGTTGCTCCGCAGGATGAGCAGGAGGATCACTTGAGCCCAGGAGCTTGAGATCAGCCTAGGGAACAGAGAAAGCTAGCCTCAAAAAAAAAAAAAAAAATTCCTAAGCCGCAGACTGACCATTGCTGTGTCCCAGGTGGATGACAGCGTTGTAAGGGTTCTGAGCCATGACGTTGAGCCGTCCAGCCCGAGCATTCAGAGCCGCCACAATCTTCCCCACTGACACGTCCAGGTAGGTCAGAAACCCTGTCTCTGACTGGGAGAGCAAGAGACAATCACAGTCCTGACTGCCATCTGTGTCCCCTCTCCTGAAGCTCAGAGGACAAAGACCTTCTCACGGGCTTCACGGCGACTCACAGCTGTGGTTAAGAGGAAGTGGAAGGGCAGGAACTCAAGCCGCGTAACCCGGTCGCAGCGGCGCACACAGTGCAGCTCGATGCCCTGGTTGTCGTAGATGTGAAGCCAGCGGTTCTGAGCCACAGCAAGCAGCGCCTCTGAGTGGAGAAACCTGGGGAAAGGGTGGCTCCATGAGCTGCAGGTCGTTCAATCAGGATGGCCAGTGTCCCCCGAACCCCATCACTGACCACTGAGAGAGGACACTCACCGGATGTCCCTCACTGCCTCCATGACATTGATCTCACACATTAGCTTCTTTGTCACCCAGTCAAGGGCAGCCACGTGACCCCGACGCCCTGCAAAGGTCATATGTCTGTTGGAGGAAGAACAGGGTGTCAGGTAGGGGGCACTTAGACTCAGATCCTTTCAGATCTGCTCCATGCCAGCTCCATGTCAGGTGACAGGAGAAGTGTTGCTGTCAGCGCCCCCCATCAACAACGAAACACACAGCACAGCCAAGAGCAGGGCTGGCACGGCTGAGGAAATCCAGCCACCTCAGCTCAGGGGTTACTGCAGCTGGGTTTGGGGGAATAAGTCTGTGATCCTAGTACTCTGGGAGGCTGAGGCAGGAATACTGCAAATTCCAGTCCCACCCTGGGGAACTGTGTGACTTAGCCAGAACCTGTCTCAAAATTAAAAATCTAAAAAAAGAGCTGGAGATGCAACTCAGTGTGAAGGGTTCAACTTCCAGCACCACAAAGAAAAAAGTCACTGCAGGGGAGGGGTGCAGCTCAGAGGTAGAGCACACACTCAGTACACACAAGGCCCTGGGTTCAACCCCCTCAAACACACACAGTCACAGGAATCCAATCCTACCTCCCAGTGCGAGAGTAGTCCAACCTGTACGGTCCAAACTGCCGCAGATTCAAGTCAAAGTGCTAGGAAAGAGAAGAATGGAAAAAAATCAAGAAAGAATGGGCTTCTCCCAGTAACTCCTAGGTAAAGTCCCTGTTCTCTCTTGCCCGGCACTACTGATGAACCCCGCAGCCCCTCCCCGCTTAGCCTCACCTTGGCTGCGCTGGCAATGTCCACAGCCTCCACGATGTCAGCCTGGCGTATCTTGGCTGTGTCCTCCCCATCGTCCCCTTCCAGAAACCTGAAAGGGAGGGTCAGGACTGTAGTAGTTTCCCACTATCAAGTGGGCACAGCAAAACAAAACGAGTCCTGTAAAGCAGGAGCCGGGGAGGCTCAGACTGGGGTTCCACTCACCCAGGTTCCTCAGCAAGCAGCAGTTCAGAACGAGCAGCTTTGATGCTTATCTCTTCTTCCAAGGCTTCAGCCACCTCAAGTTTGCTTTGGGTTTTAGGCAGGGAATGTGGTAGCTATAACATTGTTGGTGAGGAAGGAGTGGAATACCAGAAAACATGTACAGTGACAGGAGAGCCACCTGGGGCAGCTCCATCCAATTTTCCCAAACACTCCATCTGTCTCCCGCCTGTGGCCGCTGTCCCGCTGGTCCTCACCTTTTTGGATTTGTCTATACGACAGAACTTCCGGGCCTTCTGCACCGGCACAGGAGCGGGGCCTGGGAATGGATCCTGGGCCTGGGGCAGGGAAGATGATTAGCAGAAGGCTCGAGTTGACCCCAAATCTTGCACCCTAAACCTTGCACAAGGTTACCCGCCCTGCCACCCAATGAGGACCCTGATCACCCCAGACAAGCTCTGCTGGGACCCCGGCTTCTTCTGTTCTCGGAGATTCTTCTGTTCTCGAGGCCTCCTCTGTTCTCGGGACTTCTTCGTGACCTGAGATTTCTTAGAGCTCCAAGACTTCTTCGAGTTGTGAGCGTTCTTCAGCTTCTGGCGGCGGAGCTCCAGATTCTTCTTCTTTTTGCGAGGGGGCCCTGGAGAGGCTCCGGCGGCGGTGGGAGCGGTCTCTTCCTCCCAGTACCGCCGCGGTTTCTACGGGCAGATCAAAAGCCATCTGATACTCCGCACCCCGACCCCAGGCTAAAACTCCCTTCTCATCCAGGTCTTTTACCTTCCGCTTGGCCTGAAGTTTGTCCTTCTTGAGCGGGACACCCTTGCCCGGCCTAGGGACTGTCTCCATCTCGAGGACTCAAACAAAAATCCACGTGCGGAAACGCAGCCGTCCCACAGTCCGCTTGGAAACTTCCGGAAGTTCTCTGACCTTCGTCCAATCAACGCCGTACCAGGTCTGAAGCCTTCAGGCGCCATCTTGACTGAGGGTACGCTTTCCTGGGGGGGAAGGCTAGGCTCTACCTAACGAATTTATGCCAGAATAATGAAAAAAAGCAAATCGAAAGCCAAGACCCAATTAACAGTGCATTTTATTTTTCTTAATTAGCTCTCCTATTTTACCTAAAACCTTCTGAGTCCAATCTTTTACGCAGAAGGCCCGTCATTAAACCTGTGGGAACTACATTTCCCAGAATGCGTCCCACAGCCTCTTTGGTCACCAAGTTGTCCCAGAATTCCTTGTTTACTTCCGGGTTTGTTAACACTGAAAGGAGAACGTGAGTAGGCTAGGAATTTTATTGAGGGGCTGGCGATCTGGTTTTGCCCTCCACTCCTGAGGCCAGCATTGAGTTGCTATCCGGGACGAGGAAGGCTGTGGTGCCCCAAAGAGCTGCCTCTCAAGACTGCTGTCATTTTCCCAGGCCGGGCCATAAAGGCGAGCTAGAGTATCTTGCAGAGCTTGATACCTAGCGCCCCTCTTTCCCGCAGGCTTTTATCCTCGCCATGGCTGAGCTAATCCAAAAGAAGCTGCAGGGAGAAGTGGAGAAATATCAACAGCTGCAGAAGGGTAAGGGAGCAGGGTCGGTGTGGCCGCGCCCCAATGCACTCACAACCCAGAGCCTTGATAGGTTTGCTGCCGGATCCGGGCTCCGCGTACAGCTGAGTCCCCTTACCGGTGCTCTCCCCTGCTCACTGGTCCCATCCTTGTCTGCTTCCTCACATCCGTTTTCTTCCTCCCGATAGGATCGGACCAGGGCGGGGGCACATTTGATGTTTCCAATCGTGTCTCTTTCTCCCACCCTCAGACTTGAGTAAATCCATGTCCGGGAGGCAGAAGCTTGAGGCACAACTAACGGAAAACAATATCGTGAAGGAGGTGAGGCACTGGGATCTAGGGGCGAGGCGAGACTTAAAAGAGCAATACTTCTGATCATATTTGTCCCACCCCCTCCTTCATCAGGAACTGGCCCTGCTGGATGGGTCCAATGTGGTCTTTAAGCTGCTGGGTCCCGTACTGGTCAAACAGGAGCTGGGGGAGGCTCGGGCCACAGTGGGAAAGAGGCTGGACTACATCACAGCCGAAATGTAAGTGCGGAGTCGCTGGAGTAGAAGCTTTGAACAGTCTGGCCAGTTCCCCCAGCCCCTCCCAACCTACCTTTTGCCTTACTTTTTGGTACCAGGAATCGAACTCGGCACCTTGCCCTTGCAAGGCAGGTGCCGTGCCACTGAGCTATATCCCCAGCCCCCTTTGCTCTCCTCTGCGTCTCAGGCTTCTCACCTGAGTCTCTTATTCTCAGCACTTTTAAGAGTAGTCATCACTGATTTTCTCCCTTCATGCTGCTTTGTCTCCCTCTCCTCCCCTCAGTAAGCGATATGAATCCCAGCTCCGGGACCTGGAGCGGCAGTCGGAGCAGCAGAGGGAGACCCTTGCTCAGCTGCAGCAGGAGTTCCGGCGAGCCCAGGCCCAGGCCGCCAAGGCAGGGACTCCTGGGGAGGCCTGACCCCATGGTGGGGGGAGGGGGGAGGCAGCTCGAGGGTCTGTACTGTAGTAGGCAATAAAATGTAAAAACAGCTGGCTGTGTTTTGCCACTGGCCACTTCTGTCATTTACCCAGCCCCTTCCACTGTGTCCTTACCCTGCCTGCCTTTCTTCCTCAGGTGCAAATTCTTGACACTAGAGCCCTGAGGCAGGTTGAAGCCTTTCTTGTTATTTTAAAAGTTCTTACTAGTGCATGTGTGTAGTTGATAAGGGTTACATTCATTGTAGGGGGTGATATGTGTACTTAACACATCTTAATTTTTGCTTCCCTTCTCCTTGAGTCTTTTCTTGAAACTAAAGCCTGACATATCTCAATCCTTCTTTAAATATATACAGTCCTATCCCTGCCAGTGACTTGGGTTAAGAAGCATGAGAACATTCACAGTATGTTGGAAAGAACCATAGTGCTCTAACCTGAGACCCCAGAAGGAAATAAGTTTATCTTCCTTACTATAAATACTCATCAGCCACCAAACAGCTCTTGCATCTCTTTGAGTTTGTTTTGCTGTTTTGATACCAGGTCTTAATTTGTATTGCAGGATAGCCCTGAACTCAGTATGGAGCCCAGGCTGGCCTCTAACTTGAGATGATCCTCCTGCCTCAGCCTCCTGAGTGTTAGGACTACAGGCCTGTGGTATGACACTCAGCTTTTTAGTTTTCTTCAGTTTGTCATCCTAAAATTTGCTTGCATAGTTTAGCCTTATTTAAAATCCCCTCAAAAAAAAAAAAATCCCCTCAAAGTTTATACATGTTTCCACAACATCATCTTCGTTTAGTTTTTTTGAGACAGGGTCTCACTATGTATTCCAGACTGGCCTTAACTCAAAGAGAACCTCCTGCCTCAGCCTCTTGAGTGCTGGGATTGCATGTACCATGCCTGGCAATTTTTTTTTTGTCCTAAAATTCTTTCATAATTCCTGAGAGCAGTCACACTGATCAGTTTAACTAGAACAACAAAAAGAACAGAACAAAAGTGAGCAGGAAAGAATAGTTTCATGCACCTTTCTTTTGGCCCCTCATGGGAGTAGCAAACACTGTACCCCATGGCTTCAGCCTTCAGCCACCTCCCCACCACAGGGACAGGGGAGTGGGACTCCAGTAGTGTTTTGGTTTATTATCTTAGTGTTGTCACAGTGACAGGAACTCCCCTGGGAGCCTGCTTCTTGCCCTGGGGCTCAGCACCAGCAGGCCTTCCCTTGGCCCTTCCCCTGCCAGGGTGTAACATGGCCCAGAAACAAGTCTGCCCACCATCAGCCACGTGCCCGTGCCTCATGAACGGTGGGGAGCTGCACACGGGTATGCAGCTTGGATTCAAGACTACCAGCTCCCCCAGAGCTGGACCCCTCAGTGGTCAGGTACAGGAGTGGCACTTCACTGCCCCAGGGTGGCTGATCACCTAGTCGGATTTCTGTCCCCGTGCCATATAATGGCCACCATCCAAGATGGCCACCCACATCTGGTATGAGCACCATGACAGAAGCCTTCTTCCTCAGAACATGAGCCTTCTTCCTCAGAACAGCGCCCGTGCGATCTTCCTCCCCGTGGCCTTGATCCTGGGGAAGGAGCCCCCTCCCCCCTCACTTGGGGGGGTTCCTGAGGCAGCGGGGCCACTGGCAGGGCTCTGCATGGAAGCTGACGGCCTCCGCCGCTGCCGGAGGAGGAAATCTTTGCACGTGCCATCCATGGCGTAGAAGACATTGGCTGAGGCTGGGATGGTCAGCTCTGTGGGGGCACAGGATAGGGCCACATGGTCACTACCCCCACAGCACCTGGATGTGGAGCACCCCACTGCTCACACCACCCCCAGTCTGCCTTCCCTCCTGGCCTCTGACCTCGCTCCCCTGGCAGCAGCTGGACCAGCTCAAAATCTGAAGCCACCTCAGAATCACGATTGTTTTTCTTAAGGACACGACTGATAACGCTTGGAGCTTTGTCCTGGCTTGTCACCTGGACAGACAGGAGACCGAAAGAACAGCAAATCGGCCACCACGGCCTCTGCTTCCCTCTCCTCCAACCTCATCCACCTGCCCAATCAAAATGGGTCACCCAAGTCTAGCCATCTGCGTTCCTGTAGCCCCTCAGCCAGCCCATGGGGTGCCCATAAAACAGGGCTGAGTCTCTGCTATGGGTTCTGGAAACCTCACAGGGCCCCCCAAAGCTCCAGGTGCAGCTGCTGGTGCACAGCAGCCATCAAAATAAAACACAAGTGCCAAAGCCAGCGGCTGGCCCTGATCCAGCACCGGCTCCCCTTGGCTACCCCCACCCCGAAGACCTCGGCCCATCCCGCAAGGCCCAGGCGCCTCACCAAGATGCTCTTGTACACACTGCCATCCTCGCCCAACTCCATCTGCACGCGGATGATTCGGCAGTCGGAAGCCCCTGGCCCAGATGCCCCTGCCCCAGACCCTGTCCCCCGGGAGGGTCCTTCTCCGGTGGCCCCACTCAGCGGGGAGCCACAGGAGGCAGAGCGGCGGTGACCTCGACCAGGCCTCGGGGAGGAGGCTGGTGGGGAGAGGTGTCGGGGGTCTGCTGGACTGTGCAGGGAAGGGCTGCCTTCCAGGGCGGAGTCCAGAGAAGAGACTGATGGCCACTTCACGTGCTGGGGACGAGCAAAACGGGACAGGCATGAGGTGGGGAAGTCTGAGGGCGGGGAGGGGGACACTCACAAGGTCAGGGTCAGGGTTAAGTCAGAGGTCAAGGGGGGCCTCACCTGGGCCAGCCGGGTCAGCAGGGGAGCTGGGGTTTCAGGCGCCTCCTCTGACCCCATGCTGGGCTGGTCCCAGGACACGAGGTGGGTGGGGCCCCCCACGGAGCTGAGAACCCTGGAGCGGCAGGAAAAGGGGAGTATTGGGGGACAAGCAGCAGGTCCCCAAGAAACGCCCTCCGCCCCTGCCCCAGCCCTGGACTCACTCTGTCCACTGCGAGATGACCAGCGTTGGCCGAAGCACCCGGGGGGCCGGAGAGTCACCAGTGCCGGGCGGCTCCACCTCGCAGGACACGCGGTGACTGGAGACAGGGCAGGGGACAGCAGTCAGCGCGCACGCACGGCGTCAGCACCCCATCCCGGCCTCGAGCAGCCCTCACCTTTGTGCCTCGGTCAGCGGCCGGAGCCCCTGAAGCCACTGCTGGATGTCAGGGTCGGGGCGGAGCTCGTAGCCACGACATTCATCCTGAAGCCGCCGCAACTCAGAAAGGACGGTGAATTCCTGGGAAGGAGCCCTCAAACTGCAGGAGCCACGATTCAGGAACCCCCAGCCTCGCCCGCCTCTCCCGACTGGAAGGCAATCCAGATGTCCGGCACCCCGCTCTCACCTTCCTCCGCTTGTCGAAATTGATGTAGCCGTTCTGCAAGGTCAGCGGGACAGGGGTGAGGTCCTAACCCCGGCTTCGGGGCTGCCCCCCCCACGCTGCCCCGCCCCCACGCCTCCGCACATGCGCCTTTAAATGGGCTTCTTGGCAGTGGTGGTGCTGGGACCCGTCCGAAGCCCCACTCGTGGCGGGCAGGACCTTGGTATGGGTTTTCATGTTTGTTGTTGTTTGTTTGCTTTTTGGTTGGGTTGTTTTGTTTTGTTTTGTTTTGTTTTGTTTGAGACACTAAGTAGCCCAGGCTGGCCTGGAACTCTCCTGGATCCTCCTGCCTTAGCCTCCCAAATGCTGGGAGGTGTCACACAACCTGCTACTTATCATAAGCCATATATGCATACCTTCCAGGCATATTGCAGCCACTTTAGATACCGGAATCCGTTTAAGCCTCACATGAACAAATATAAGCATCACAAACAACCAGCGCCCAAGGAACCTAAGCATCTGGCCCCAGCACCAGCACTGGGGCCGCCTGCGGAAGCAAAGCTGCAGAGCAGAGAGCAAAGCATCCACACCACTGACCTCCAGCTCATCCTTGGAGGCCGCATCCAGCATCACTAGATCTTTGAGGAAGGTGCCGAGGTATGGGACCACGCCCTGGGGCAGAGTGAGCTTGAGAGCCAGCCCTGCCCCCTCCCAGTGCTGTCAGCCCTCATCCATCTCACCCCTCACTGACACCCCTCCAATTCCCCGGGCCTAGCCCAGCAAGTCACTCACCCCGCCCCGGAAGCCAGGCCGAGGCACCTTCTTGGAGTTTGGCTCCAGATTCCCCTCCTGACAGAGACAAAGCGCGCAGAGGTGAGGAGTAGGCAGGTTGGGAACCAGGGCAGGCTGGGAGCCATCAGAGACAGGCCTCACCTGCAGGAGGAGCTCCCGGCTCTGGGAATAATTATCCTCTTCAGAGAAAATCTGGCAGAGGCTGGAAAAGACTCTGAGGCTGTCCCTGGAAGAGCAAAACAGGCGGCCCTGAGGACAGGCTGGCTCGGCCACCCCCAACGTCCCACACCCCCAGCCGTTTGCTTGTCCTCCCCACCTGGCTGCTTCTCCCCAGGCTGCCCTGAGCCTGTGGATGGGGCTGGACTGCAGGGCCGACACCACTGCGTACACGGAGGAGAAGTTTCGAAGCAGCCGGCACTCCTGCGGGGCCAAGAGGGAGGAGGAGTAAGGGCCCCAGACACACCGAGGTCCTCACAGGGCGACAATCCCCCCTCACCTCTGCCACACGGATCCACTTTTCCAGAAGCCGGGCCCGCTGTGGGGGTCGGAGTGGCCGCACGGTCACCTCCCCAGGCCCCTCTCCAGTTGAAGTGGCACCCAGGACAGAGCTAACCACTGCCCCTGCCACCTTGTTGAATTGTGTGACAGTAGCTCGAACAGACGGGCAGAGGTGGGAATGTCCAGGCCGGTCTCTGTGACCCCACAGCCCTCCCAGGCACTGAGAGGGGACCAGATTGAGAAACAGCTCCTGTGGGACAGAGGGCAGAGGTTAAAGTTCATAGGTGAGGCCAGTCTTCCAAGGCAGGGATCTGAGGATCTCAGATGGCCAGGGAACCAGA